TGGTATCGGAGACTGGAGAGTAGGGTCTGATTCGGGAAATTGAAAAATTTTCGGAAAATTACCGTCCTCCGATCCGCCGCGGACGGATGCGATTCTTTTCCATTATCGAAGATCGGAAAACTGTACGGACCGAATTTTGATACGAGTTTTTGTTTTCGAGATTTCGGACTTGTAAAATTTTCGGCATCCACGATAGACCATATCCTCCAGTATGGGTCTGGTATCGGAAACTGTAGAGTAGGGTCTGATTCGGGAAATTAAAAAAATTTCGGAAAATTACCATCCTCCGATCCTCCCCGGACCGATGCGATTCTTTTACACTATCGAAGATCGGAAAACTATACAGACCGAATTTTGATACGACTTTTAGTTTTCCAGAAAATCCAACTTTTACCTAAGTCGCATAGACCATATCCTCCAGGATGGGACTGGCATCAGTGACCGCAGAGCAGGGTCTGATCCGGGAATTTCAATTTTTAGTGGTGTGCGCTTGGAGATGTGTATCCGAACCTTGTGTTTTGGGATAAGCAACTGGGATTGTATATTACAATTTCAGTTTGATGAATCTAAAACTTGTAAAATTTTTGGGATCAATAAACCATATCCTCCATATCCTCCCCAGTCCGGGACTGGTATTGGTGACTGGAGAGGAGGGTCTGATTCGGGATAATAAAAAAATTTCCAAGTCCTACGCTGGAAAATATTTTCGGAAAATTCTCCCCCTCCGATCCGCCACGGACCGATGCGACCGCATTTTGATACGACTTTTCGTTTTCGAGAAAATTCAACTTTCACCTAAGTCGCATACGTATCTTAGGTGTAGATACGAGTTTTCGTGCTTGCTTGAATAAATGGGAGTCTTGACTTTTACTATTGACAGGATGTATATCTGATGGTAAAAACACATCTATGACACATACCTATCTTATGTGTATACGCGGTTTTGTTGCTTACTTTGTTTTCAGATTGTGCAAAATATTCGGATTTTTGGACTTGTAAAAAATTGTCGGGATCGATAGACCATATTTTACAGTATGGGTCTGGTATCGGAGACTGTAGAGTAGGGTCTGATTCGGGAAATTAAAAAATTTTCTAAGTCCGGCGCTGGAAAATATTTTCGGAAAATTTCCCTCCTCCAATTTACCCCGGACCGATGTGATTCTTTTACACTATCGAAGTTCGGAAAACTGTACAGACCGAATTTTGATACGACTTTTCGTTTTCGAGAAAATTCAACTTTCACCTAAGTCGCATACGTATCTTAGGTGTAGATACGAGTTTTCGTGCTTGCTCGAATAAACGGGAGTCTTGACTTTTACTATTGACAGGTTGTATGTCTGATGGTGAAGACACATTTATGGAACATACCTATCTTATGGGTTTACGCGGTTTTCCTTCGTGGCCTTTATAGATTGTGGTCCTCGCTCCGTCCAGAGTTCAAAATTCGTCGTGAAATAGCTGTTTGTCCGTGGATCGCACAACGATGTGACGCCTGGTTTTAGTTTCTACAAATCATGGGGTATCAGGAAAGCGTAAAAGTGCATTGCGGGTAGCCCCCGCTCGCGAAAGGCCATGTGCTGACTTTTTATTGAACTCATAAAGCTACCAGATAACTTAATTTTCATATGAGGAACCATGAGGTTGCTTCCATCAGGTGACAGCACTATGAGAATTCTATTCACATGTTCACTCTGAAATCTTTTCAACGAACAGAATCTTACAAACGAGAAAATAGTGTTGATTTTCTGTTCTGACGAAATCAGAAAACCTCGAGCTCATAATAGTATAAAACTTCGAGCTTATGATAGTATTCCATTGTTCACTCTGAAATCATTTCAGAGAACAGAATCTTACAAACTTAAAGATAGTGTAGATTTTCTGTTCTGACGAAATCAGAAAACCTCGAGCTTATAATAGTATTCTATTGTTCACACAGGAAATTTCTCAGGGGGGGGGGGCAAGGG